CAATAGAAATTAAAATTAAGGTGTTTAAAATTTTAAAAACTGTATGACTCTAATATCCAGCTTTTAAGACTTCTTGTAACAATGCTAAGCCTGTGAAGAAGTATGGAGCTACAAAGCACAAACTGCAGTGAAATTGGCTTTAACTCCATCTAGAATAGTTAAGGAAATGGCTTAAACAAGGGAAAAGGGTAATAAATAAATTCACCTTTTATTCTTTAACTCGAGAACCCATTTCTGTCCATCTTTTATCTTGTTTCAAATAATCCTAATTACTCCAAATTTTACCATAATTTTCCTGCCCACTTTCCAAAATTTTCTCTCACAACTCAATCAGGCATGTGTCAAATCATAGCCCCAAAAAGATCCTAAAAAATCTCACAAAGTGCCTGCTATACCTGCGAGGCAGTAGGTATGCTGAAGAACACAGGAAATGAGAGAGAAGATAAAAGATTATGTCTCATTAAACAACATTAACTGACAGCCATTGTACCACACTAGTCTGCCTGTGAGAGAATCTATTAGCAACTTCATTTTAAGAAATCCTCCAGAGAAATGTGAAGTCCTAATAAAACCAAAAAGGTCAACTAACCATGAAACCAATCTGACCTCATTGTAAGGCCATGGTCATTCATAAATCACATAGACCCTTACCTTGGCTGCTTTAAATAACATTTCTCTTTCTTCTAAATCCTTTCTCTGCTTCTCCAATTGATCCAGCTTTTCGAGAAATTTGAGCTGTGACCTGGTATCATTAGACAGGATGTAATTTTCACTTGTCTGGGGAAGAAAAAAAAAAAAAAAAGACGATCTTGATTTGTTGTTAACACATTCTACATTACACAGTACTATAGTCACTGAGAAGGGAGCATGGTGGCTCTGTAGAATAAGCACCTGACTGCAAGCCAGAGGTTGATGGTTCAAGCCTATCAGCTGCTCCATGAGAAAAAGATGAGGCTTTCTGCTCCCACAAAGATTTCCAGCCTCATAAACCCTATACATGGTCACTATGAGTTAGAACCAACTCAATGGCACTAAACAATAATATAGTCGCTGACAAAGAGCCCTGATGGCATGTAGTGGATTACCTGTTGGGCTCATAACCTCAAGGTCAGCAGTTTGAGCCCACCAGCCACTCCACAGTTTGAGCCCACCAGCTTTCTGATCACATAATGATTTACAGCCTTGGAAATACTATACAGGGAAGCTATGAGTCAGATTCAACTCGACAGTACACAACAACAAATAAATCTGCTAAAGACAATAAGACTAACATACACACTTAAATTTTCAGGAGGGACATGTTTTCAGGAGGGACCAATCCCTGGAAAAGGACATCATGCTTGATAAAGTGGAGGGTCAGTGAAAAAGAAGAAGACCCCCAATGAGATGGATTGACACAGTGGCTGTAAACAACAATTATGAGGACAGCACAGGACTGGGCAGTATTTCACTCTCTTGTGCATAAGGTACTTATAAGTGGGAACCAACTTGATGGCACTGAACAACAACATTTTTGTGTACATGAATTTAACTTAAAAAAAGATTTTAATCACAAACAAATTTAAAGCTTCAAAGAGCTTTCCTAGTAAGAACCATGAATTAACAAACCAACAAATGAATTAAACCAAGGAGATCATAAAAAGGTTCTTGTGTGTGTCATCAAGTTGGTTCCAACTCACAGGATCTGTATAAGGTTTCCCAGAGTAGCTGATGGGTTTGAATTTCTGACCTGGTAGTTACTAGTCCAGAACTTATCCTATAGTGCCACACCAGGTTACAAAAATAGGAAGCAGAAAGCAAGAGAATGTACCATTAACCTACAATCTAAATCTTGGTATTTAAATTACTGTCTACCTTCAGCAGACATCAGTATGATTAATTAAATCTTAGGCATGTGAAAGACAACAAAAAGCAGGAAATAATCAGCTCAATGAAAAATGTAACAATGATGAAAGCTATCACCCTGGTTTCAATTGTTGGCATGACCTAACCTGACAAATGAATAAACTACAGTCAAAATAAAAAATAAGATAATGTGGCACAACTATGAAAATCCTGAAACCCTGTGTTGATGAATTCCTTAAGCAGTGAACTTGGGCAGAAACTGTAATCAAAGAAACTAAGGATATAATTTATGAATAAGCACCATAATAAAGTATAATCATCTGACTTAAATGATTTATATGAAATGATAAAATTTACAATCTTCCATTTATTCTGATATTCTAGAGCGTAAAAATAGTATTTCCCAATCTAAATATTTTCTATTCTTTTTCATCTACTATGACCTGCGTAAAATTCCTTACTGGCACAAATAGTCTGCAGTTGAATACTAACCTATAGGTTAGAAGTTCGAACCTACCCAGCTGCATCACAAAATCAAGGTTTGGCAATCTGCTTCTGTAAAGACCACAGTCAACAAAAAATTATGGAAATGTTCTGCTCTGTAATACACGGGATCACCATGGGTCACAACTGACTCAAAGACAAAGGTTTTGATTTGCTATTTTAATACATGTGTGAGTGTGTTCATGCTTGGGGGAAATCTTCTCAATCAATACTTTAGATTTCCTGCCATCTACTCATCTCATTTGCTTGCCGTCTTGTCAGTATGGTAGTAACTACAATGCTGTGATGCTGGAAGTTATGCCATTGGTATTTCAGGTACTTAGTCTGAGGAGCAACCAAAATAGGAAAAAAAAGTTTAACAATCTACATCTGAAAATTAACTGATGAATTACATAAAACAGAATACAGTGCTGGAAGATGAGCCCTCTAGGACTACAGCAAAACACTGTGGGGGAAGAGTTTTCTCCTCAACGCATACATAGTGACCTTCATGAGGGGATGGAGTAAAGTCCTTGGACCACTGATCTGCTAATATGGCACAATGATAACAGAGATAACGATACCATTATAAGTATGTACCACATTTTTTCACCCATTCATCTATTGACAGCACTTAGGTTGTTTTTAACTTTTCCTATTATGAAAACTTAGAATTCAGTGAGCATCGGTTTCCATATATTTGGTCATGACTCTTCTGTTATATTCCTATGGTATATGCCTAGAAACAGACTTGCTGGGCTATAGCCCCAAAGCCAAACTCACTTACATCAAGTCAGCTGTGACTCATAGCAACCCTATATAAGGTTTCCAAAGCTGTAAATAGGAGCAGAAAGCTTCATCGTTCTACAGAGCTGCTGGTGGGTTTGAAATGCCAACTGTGTGCTTAGCAGTCCAGTGCTTATCCTCCAGTGTCACCATGGCAGCATTATTTCTAGTTTTTTGAGGCAGAAACGAATAATACACTGAAAGAGCAATCTTTCAATAGCTCTGGGTCGTAACAGACTCAACAGCACTTAACAACAATAACAACTAATAAGACAGAAAACATCAGAGAAAAGAATGAAAAAATCTGAAGAAAGACTAGATTTCATGTGGGACAACACAAAAAGGAATAGCCTACAAGTGACTGGAATTCCAGAACAGGAAGAGACAAAGAAAACAACAGAAAATACAGTCAGAAGATATGTTAGAAGAAAAATTTTCTAACATCATGAAAAACAAGAAGATTAGTATATATCTACAGGAAATAAGAGCTAGGGCACAAATAGATATATGCACAATGATATTCATTTTAGCACTATTCACAATAGCAAAAAGATGGAGAAGGTCTAAGTGCCCATCAATGGAAGAACAGATAAATAAACATTGGTACATAATACACACAGTGGAATACTATGTGTCCTTAAGAGTAACAAATGTGCAAAACACCTCAATAACATGGATGAATCTTGAGGACATTTTGCTGAGTGAAATTAGTCAAACACAAAAGGACAAACATTGTATAAGACGATTGGTGTAAACACTTAATTAAGGTTTCCATACTAAAATAAACATTCTTTGATGGTTGGGGGGGGGGGGGAAAGGAAATGGGGATAAGACTCTTGTGGTACAATAGTGAATACCTGCCATCAGGACTGATTGTGAGAGTCAGAAATGTAGAGGTAGATTTTTTTTTTTTTTTTTGCCCCACAAAAGGAGGAGAGTAATTTGACTTTGAAGCCCAGGAGCAGAGGTCCCTTGGACCATCAAATGAGAAGAGTGGAGAACGTGACCCTACCCAGAGAGGCAGTGATACCAGGGATGGAGACAGAGATGATGATGTGGACAGATGGAGTAGATGGGGACACTGGACTCAAGGAGGGAGAGGGGCTGTCTGATGACGGCCGGGGTTGGGGAGGCAGGCCTGTGGGGTGTATCCTTTGGTTATTTGATGATGCATAGGGGGGACTGTAATCATTGCAATGAAACGAAATACAACAGGATGAATATAAAACTGATGTTCTCCCATGTAAACCCACATAATTCACATTAAAAACTTTTTTAAAAAAAGGCATGCACTGAATGGATAAAGGAGAGGGAAAGTGTTTATTATATGTTTGCTTGTCTCATGGATATTGGTTACCCCTGCTTACTACTGTAAAATAGAAATGAATATTGGAAATTATGAAAAAAGCTTGTAAATTGACCTTAAGCCTATTACCGATAGGATTTGCTAAAAGGGGAAATAGACTTTATCCAGATATATAGATTTCTGGTTAAGCCTTTGGACAGTATAGAGATGGAATCCTGAGCCGTACACAGAACCTTCTGAGTTGGGATATTCCCACTTGAAAAGACGTGTAGAACAACTCAGAACTGCTGGGATAACAGAAACGCCTTATTGTAAAAGAGACCTGCAGAAAAACAGTGGACCGTTTGGCTGTTTGAATATCAAGAAAGCTGTTTGCTTTAGAGGCATCAAGGAAAGGATAGTCAGGCCATCAGTGAAAACCCCCTTCTAGGACTAACACTCAAAGGAAACCTGTGAGTAGTGTAGTTTGCTTACTGGTAGCCAACTTGATCTACTTATGAGTGGAAAGTGGCATAAATGCAGCAATGAAGACATGGGCTGAATTTGACGACCATGTTCCATTAGCACGTGTTGACCTTGAGATGAGAGAGAGAAAGAGAGGAAGGTCTGGCTGGTCTTAAGTTTAGGAAGATGTTTGAACTCCTGAGCCTATAGGCACTGACCTACCCCTGGGAGCTAGGGCTGAGAGTGAAGTGGCCAGCTGGTCTGAAGTGTGGGAAGGTGTGTATGAACTCCCAAACTTGCAGCTAGTACCCATTTCACCTTACTTGGATGGCTAGTTGACCAGAACTCAACCAGATGAAGATAAAGATGCTTGATACTGTTAACAAGTAAAAATTGCTACAATCTGGCAAACTAGCCTTTTGACTATGAATGCCCTTATTTAAAAATCCAACTGGAATGGAAGAATTCTTCACATCAAGGAAGAACCTTGTTTCCTCAGTGTAACGGATTGATAGGGATGAGAAATTTAGACACTGACTATCAAAAATGGGAGTGGGGGTGGGGCACTATAAGGGCATGAAATGGCTGCCTTACAAGCTTTCATGTGAGCTTAGTTTCAGAATGAAGAGGGTAAGGTAGAATTCCCAGTGAACAGTTTCCCTCTTTTCCAGATGAATCTGGTGAAAGGGGATAGGGGATGATGGTGATAGAATTTTATGACTCAATTGTGAATAATAGTTAGGAGGATTAATTGCAATTGTCACAACAATTTTTCATTTCAGGAACAGATAAATCCAGGATCATCAAGAAGAATAGCAGAGATGGTGGCAGAGGCGGTGGCACAGAGAGACAAAGCAGTTGCGGGTCCTAGGCCCATGGACTGAGAAAGGCTGTGTGCCTGGCAGGCAGGAGG